CGCTGCACTCAGGGAGTAGCTGGGAAATACCTGGCTCTCTCCACGCGTTTCAGCTGGGAACCGTGGCGGTGTGGGCAAGCACAGACTCGAGCCCAGGTGTCTAGCCGCTCCTGGAACACTGGCTCTCTAGGGACTTTTATAGAACAAAACCATGAGGTGAGGTGGGTCCAAGGTAGGGGGAAAATGGACAACACTATGGTCAGCCAATAAGAATTGTTCAGGTAAAACTGATTAAACCGGGATCAAATGGGGAAGGGAGTCAAGTAGCAAGTGGGCATGAATACAGAAAAGGGCCTTTTCCTGTAAGGGGTTGAGTCAATCACTCTTCAAGGTGACTGCTACCTGTTTAGAGTATCAATCCCTAATGTCCATCCCTAGGGAGGTATGTGGGTGTATTTGTTTAGTCTTTGGTCTTGAGATCTGGCCCGAAGCAAGCACCACCTCTCCATTTGTAAGGTATCTTGTCTTCCACACTGGCTCCTTTGAGGGCCTGGCCCTGTCTGATTGTCTATATTTCTAATTCAGCTGCCTATAACACTCTGACTTGGATAAACTTGTCTGTTCTATTCTCATCTTTGTAAATTCATGTACCTCTCACTTCAGTGGCCCTCCACAAGGCCATTTTAACAGGGCAGTTTCTAGCTCCTTTATTTTTAATTTTTAGATAGGGTCTCACTAAACTGTCCAGGTCAGCCTAGAACTCGCCATACTCCACCTTCAGCCTCCCCAGTAGCTGGGATCACAGACATCTGCCCCACCTGACTTGTAATTGTATCACAAAATGTATATGTAAATGCAAAGGACCTAGAATAGCAAAAGCTATCTCGAAAAAGAAAAGTTAGAGGACTTACAATACTTGAATTCGATGTTTAGTGTAAGCCACATTAACTAATTGTAACATCAGCCCTAGGATAAACAATTAATGAAACGGAATAGAGTATAAAAATAGACTCACACCTATATGCTCAAGTGGCATTTTTCTTCTGGTGCTTGGGAGGGAACCCAGAGCTGCATGCACAAGAAACAAGGCTCTATTACAGAAATCACTCCCGGACCCCAATAAATAATATTGGTCACTTATCACGTGAAGTACGCTGGCTGGGCACTGGAGGAAATGAAAATGAATAGGGTTGACTTATTAGTGGGGAATACAGAAATAAAACACACCATAAAACTATGGGTACTAAACAGAAAAACACGAGCGGATTGGGTACAGCGGTCGGTACTTAGGATTTCTTCCTTGGGGGCTGAGAAAGCCAAAGTAGGCCTCCCCGAGGGGCATCTGTCAGAATCCAGAATCACCCAACAACCAGCTGTGAAGAACACTCGAAGGGGGCGCACAAGAGCGGCGCAGGCGAGCCCTGGAGTCCCAGCTGCTCGGAAGCTGGGCCAAGATCCCGAGTTTGAGGCCGGCCTGCGCAATTTTTTAGCCCTGTCTCAAACAGAGCTGGGGATATGGTTCAGGGCACAGGCCCTGGTTTCAGCCTCCCGTACCACAAAGAATTGTTTTAAAAAGAGAAATTGCTCAGCGGCGCGAGTAGGGAGAAGGCCCTTCCTGCGGCGTGGAACCGGACGGAGCCGCTGCAGCCAGGGAGCAAGGGTGCCTCGGGGCAGCAAAGCACGCCGGGGGCGCAGGGCAGGCACGCCCCCAGGAACGCGGCGAGCAGTCCCCGAAAACGGAGGCACCCCGGGCGGCGCGTGGGGCGGGGGACCGCGGCGCAGAGCATCCAGAGTGGCGCCGGCCGAGGGATGCCTCCTAGACGCCCGCGGCCGGTGCACACAGTAAGGTTAGCATAACGTTTGAAGAAAACGTGCTGGAGGCACGAGGCGTTCACGACCCGTTCCTACGATCGGGTAGGAAGACCGCCCACCTAGCGCCTAGCGCCGCTGAGCTGCCGCCCACGCCTCGCGCGGCCTCCCGGGCGGAAGTGCCCTCCTGCCCCTCCGGACGTGCTCGCCCTAGTCGACCGGAAGTGCTCGTCCTAGGCGACCGGAAGTGTTTGCCCTAGTCCTCCGGAAGTGCTTCCCTTGGCTTGCCGGAAGTTTTCTTGTGACCGGTTCGCAGCGCAGCGGGAAGATGGCGTTGGAATCCGGTGACATGGAAGACGGGCAGCTTTCTGACTCAGATTCCGACATGACGGTCGCACCCAGCGACAGGCCACCGCAAGTGCCGGTGAGCGTGAAGGGCGGGAGGGCGGGTGACCGGACAGGCGCGGAGCCCCAGCGCCGGGGCGCCCCCGTGCGGTGCAGCGAGACGGAGCCCGCGGGCCTCGGGGCCTCCTGCACGCGGCGTGCGGCGGCCTCGGCGCCTCTTCGTGCGCACCGCTGTTCGTCCTGAACCTGCCGACTGCCGGCTCCAGCGCGGCGGGTTTGGAAGGACGCATCTTACTAAAAATAGAGAACCTGAAGACGCAGGCTTGAAGCGGCTTGTGCTGCTCCCTTTAGTGCGGACAGGGAGACTGAGCGTAGGAGGGAAGCGCATTTCTCGTTGGGGACCTGGACCTGCACGTTCTCGCCGCGCCTGGCTTTGTGCCGTGGTGTTAAGGTTCTGTTTTAGCTTCCCACTTTCCGAAGCGGATGTGGTGTGACCCCGTGGGAAGCAGCAACCGCTGGAAGAGGGCCTTGGTGCCAGGCTGCCTCTGCTCCCGTCCTGGCCCGGCCACGCTCTGACCTGCCTGCCCGTTTTGGGGGCCCGGTCTGCCGAATTGGCACGCTGGTGCCAAGGATTGGACGGAACTAACTGCACACTGTTGCCCGGCGAATAGTAGCTTCCCGGTACCATTTCAAGACTAACCTTTGACTTACACCACGCGCCACTGCCGTTTCTGGCTATGAAGAGAGTTTAACAAATACTTAGTTTTGAGTATAGTGCGAAAATCAAAGGTCAGGAGCTAAGTTACAGTTAGGGAGAGTAAGTTCAGGAATTCTGTTGCACAGTAGATGACTGTAGTTAATGTATGGTTCGAAGTAGTTAGAAAAGAGGTTTTTGGTTTTGTTGGGCCCTGGTTTTCGAACCCAGGGCGCTGTACCACTGAACTCCATCCCCAGCCCTTTTCATTTTTTTGTTTTGTTTTTTGTTGAGACAGGGTCTCACTCTGTAGTTCAGGCTGGCCTTGAATTCACCATGTAACCCAAGCTGGTCGCGAACTTGAAGCAGTCCTCCTGCCTCAGCCTCCCAAGTGCTGGGATTACAAGCGTGGTAGGCCTCACCACGCCCAGCACGCCCTTTTCTTTTGAGACAGGGTCTTGCTGAGCTGCTCAGAAAAGACTCAGACTTGTGATCCTCAGCCTCCCTCAGTGCTGGGGTTACTGGCCTGCATTACTTCGCCACGCTATGAGGATTTTTAAACATTTTGCCACAAAGAAATGTTCAAGATCATGGATGAAGGAATCGGATCATCACTTTGAGACCAAGGCAGCATTCAAAAACACCCCTTCTTACTTCTCATAGTCCTCAGGTTTCAGTTTCCCCAAAGTCACAAGCTGCTTGCCTACTGGTCAGCTCCCACAAGCTGCCTGCTTGAAGGACAAGGGTATCAGCCCAGTTCCAGCTTCCCTTCTCAACTATAAAGTCCCTGGATCGTAAGAGACAGGGCCATTTGGGCCTCATACCAGCGGTCCCTCTTGGGTGTTAATCCCAGTAGAACCTGTCCTGGGCTGTGGAGCTGGATTCTTTTTCCTAACAATGTCTATGCTACTTACCCTGATTTGATCTTCGCAAAGTATATGTCTATATCAAAGCATCAAATTAAATCCTGTGAATCTGCACAGTTATCATGTGGCAGTTGAAACAAAGCTGACCTCTTTTGGATATATGTCTGTGGAAATTCTGGAGTATTTTGTAGTATTTCAGCCTCTTTCCAGTTGTTTTATGTAAATTGACCCATAACTTAGTTAATGCAGTTTAAAATAATATAAGTAGGAGAACCAAGGAGCAGTAAATCAGAAGCTAGATTGGTGATGCTCACTTCTAACCCTAGCACCCTTGAAGGCTGATGCAGGAAGATTGCAGGTTTGAGGCCAGCCTGAGCAATTCTGCAATTTCGACCCTATCTCTAAATAAAACTAATAAAAAGGGTTGGAAATGTAGTTTGATGTGAAGGCCCCAGGTTCAGTCTGCAACACACACAAAAAGTATTATGTCAGGCTGGGGGTGTAGCTCACTGGTAGAGCCCTTGCCTTGCATGTGGAAGGCTCCGGGTTCAATCCCTGGTGTGCAAAGAAGAAAAAAAAAATCATTACCAGATGAGGCAGGAGGATGGCAAGTTTGAGGCTATCCTGCCTAACTTAATAAGATCCTCCCTCAAAACAAAAAGGGCTGGCGGTGGAGCTTAGTGCTCCCTGGCTGGGTTCAATCTCCTGTGCTGCATTTTTTTTTTAAGAAGTAAAATATCAGGGATTCCACCCTTAGGAATTCACCCGTTATCTAAAAGTATACTCACAGAGCCATATAAAGTTATTGAATGTGTCCAAATGCAAGAGTTATTTTTGGAAAGAAATAGCAATTCTGGCTGTAACTGAAAAAATTTACTGTTTTTTCTTCCAGTGCTGAGGATCAAACCTAGGGCCTCATGTGTGCTAGGCAAGAAAGAGGCCTTATAGAATGGTTTTAGCTGTACAGATAAAAATGTATGACAACTTTCACTGAAACTTGAGAAAAGAATGAACTGGAATGGTTTCAGAGATGTCTTTGGAGATCAATTCTGTTTCAGAATACTCCAGATGAATCTCAGACTTTTTTTTTAATAGCTCCTGGTGGGTGGTATGGTTATGTTTTGTGGAACTGACTATGTTTTCTTTAACTTGTAGAAAATACTTGGTGGAGACAGTACCGTGAGGGTCTTCCAGAATACTGCCACCACAGCATATGTACCAGTATCACATTATCGGATTGTTAAAAGTGTGGATTCAAGTGAAGAGAGTTTTTCTGATTCAGATGATGATAGCTCTCTTTGGAAACGCAAGCGACAGAAATGTCTTAATGCCCCACCCAAACCAGAGCCTTTTCAGTTTGGCCAGAGCAGTCAGAAACCACCTGTTGCTGGAGGAAAGAAGGTTAACAACATCTGGGGTGCTGTGCTGCAAGAACAGAATCAAGATGCAGTGGCCAATGAACTGGGTATTTTGGGAATGGAGGGCAATATTGACAAAAGTAGACAGTCTGAGACCTACAATTATTTGCTTGCTAAGAAACTTAAGAGGGAATCTGAAGAATATACTAAAGAATTAGACAAAGAGTTAGATGACTATATGCATGGTGACAAAAAACCAGGGTCAAAAGAAGAGGAAAATGGTCAAGGTCATCTCAAACGGAAACGACCTGTCAGAGACAGAATTGGAAGCAGAGTGGAAATGAACTATAAGGGCAGGTATGAGATCACAGAGGAAGATTCTCAAGAAAAAGTGGCTGATGAAATTTCTTTCAGGTAAGTATTTAAATTTTACCTACAAATGAACACCTGACCAAATACCTTATATTTACAAGGATTAAAATAGATTCTAGATACATTAATGATGAAGTTCCTTTTAGAATTTTTTGTTTTTATTTTTTGTCTTCTTAAAGAATTAACGCTATGCTTACTTGGTTACCTGAATACACTTGTATTTTCTTATATTGGAGAGGTTTGATAGGATAATTTTGCATACTCACGAACATTTAAGCAACTGCATTTAGTGCCATACAGCTTGTTACATAAAACATTTGTAAAATTCATTTTAGTGGTACATTTTTGATATACATAATGATCACATCTTAGGGAATGTCCCTGTACATAATACATCTTGATTCTTTTTTCCCCATTCCCCCCATCTCCCTTCAACCCTTCTTCACTCCTTCTTTACAAAAGCTTTGTTTCCATTTTTTTCCTCCATTCTTTTTTCTCCTTTGTCCTTCCTTCTCTTTCCCCTACTCCCTTCTTTGTTCTCCTTCCCATTTGAACATTTTCTTCCTACTTCCCAATATTGGTCATCCATTTTAACACTTCTGGTTTCTCACACAAGAGAAACAGTGCAATATTTAAACATGGCCGGGTGTGGTGGCGCACGCCTGTAATCCCCACACTCGGGAGGCTGAGGCAGGAGGATCATTGTGATTTCGAGGCCAGCCTGGGCTACAAAGTGAGCTCAAGGTCAGCCTGAACTGTATAGCGAGACCCTGTTTAGAAAAGACAAAAAAAAAAAAAAAAATATTTGAACATGTACCCAAGTTAATTTCACAGAAAAGTATGGTCTTGAGGTTCATCCATTTACCTAAAAATGTCTCAAGTTTGTCCTTTTTTATGGCAGAGTAGTATACTGTTGTATATGAAAACCACATTTCTTTATCCATTCATCTGTTGGTAGGCATCTAGGCTGTTTCCAAGATTTACCTGTTACAAACTGTGCCACTGTAAACATGGGTCTTCGTATATCACTGTGGTGTGATGCTTTTAACTCTTTCAGGAAGATAGCAAGAAGGGAAATAGGTAGTCAAATGAAACCTCTTAGTTACAGTTTTTGAGGAATCTCCATACTGATTTCCATATTATTCGTACCAGTTTACAAGCTCACCACCAGTGAAGGATTCCTTTTTCCTCAAGCCTCATCAGCATTTGAAGGGGTGATTTGAGACATGTAGTCTAGTTTTGACCTGTAGCCCAGGCTGTCCTCAAACATGTGGCAGTCCTGCTCCCTCAGCCTCCTGAAAGCTGGGTATACGGGTGTGTGCCACCATGTCTGACTCACCAGCATTTGTTGTTGGTTGATTTCTTTCTTTATTTTGGTTGGTTGGTTGGTTTTTGAGACAGGGTCTCACTATGTAGTTCAGGCTTGACTCGTAAATGCTGGGATTGCAGGTATGCACCACCACACCCAGAGGTGGATTTGTTGTTGATAGTCACCCTTTCTGGAATGAAAACAGATCTTTTTAGAACCTTTTTAAAAAATATTTTCAAGCATTTGTGATTTAAAAATAACTGTAGGGAAGTACATGTTATATGTGACAATATCTATTTTCAAGTCTTGATTTTTTTTGTACTAAATTTATCAGTTTCTGTGACCATCAGCATCACTTTTAAAACCTTTCCATCACCCTGTGAGATCTCTTGTGTCCATCTGCCCACTTACAGTGAGTCCCTGTTCTCATCCCCAGACACCTTGCTAGTCTCCTTTCTGTCAGTACAGATTGCATTTTCTGGACAAATGAAATCATATAGTATGTGGTCTTGTGCGGGCTTTTTTCGCTTGTGAAGTGTTTTTGAGATTGATTGATGTTGCAGTAATTAGTACTTGATTCCTTTTTATATTGTGAGTATATATATGTATATAAGGTGTGATTGAAAAATAATGGTGTTTAAATTTTTTAAAATGTATTATGGTAAAAGACATTGCCATTAATCCCCTTGAAAATAGTGTCTCTTGGCTTCAGACAGACTTTTTCCACTATTCTTGCCACTTTCTGAAACAGTTCTGGAAATTCTCTTCTGTCTTCAGTTGCACTAGAGTAGCTGCCTTGAATGTCTTGAATCAGTTCAAAACATTTACTTTCATGGTCACTTTGACTTTGGAATATATCCAGGCTGAATTGTACAGGGCCAGAGCTGGTGAATTAGGTGAATGAAGTCACACTATGTTTTTACGAGAGCCTGCCTTTCCATTGGCTGACACCTAGCATTCAAGAATTTACCATGTTTGCTTGTTTGTTTTTTTGGTGTTTGTCCTTTTTTTTTTTTTTTGGTCTTTTTTGAGACAAGGTTTCACTATGCAATTCAGGTTCGCCTTGAACTCACTTTGTAGCCCCTGCTGGCCTCAGCATCGATCTTCCTGCCTTAGGCTCCCAAGTGCTGAGATTACAGGTATGTACCACGACGCCTTGCTGCTTCACCATGTTTTTTATTTTTATTTTTTTGGTACCAGACACACTCAGGACCTTGCGCTTACCAGGCAGGCACTTGTGCCCCTGAGCTATGTCCCTGGCCCCTTCACCACTTTTTTTAATGACATTTCATCAATTCATTCTGGAAAGAGGACTTCCAGAATTGCTTCAGAAAGTGGCAAGACTGATAAGTGTGGTTGAAACCAGGGGGATTATCTTGAGGGAGGGTAATGGCAATATGTCTTTTGTTGTAATTTTTTAAAATGTAAACACAAAGCTGAGTGTGGTGGTGCAGGCCTGTAATCTCAGCACTTGGGAGGCTAATGCAGGAGGATTGCTACAAGTTCAAGGTCAGCCTACGCTGCATAGTAAGTTCAGGACCAGTCTGAACTACCTACCGAGACCCTCAAAAAAATGAACAGAAAAAAAGTAAACACTATATATTTTTAGCACTCCTTGCATATCCATAGTGGATGATATTTCACTTTTTGCTTATGAATACTGCACATCTATGAACATACGTTTTCATTTCTTCTTGATAAATTCCTAGACGTTTAATTGCTTGGTGGATGGTAAATTTACAAATCATTTCTTTTTTCACAAGTTCAACTTTTGATTAACTTTTCTTTAACTCTTAAGTCACTTCTTACAAGTTAAAAACAAGCTGGGCATCGGGGTGCTCACCTGTAATCCTAGCAGTTGGGAGATTGAGACAAGAGGATCACAAGTTTCAGGCCAGCCTAGAATGCATAGTAGGAAATTGTCTTACAAAACAAAAACGGGTGAAAACAAATGTAGTGCAACAGTAAAATGTCAGGTATTTACTTTCTAGGAAAGTCTATCTCAGTAAGTACTATCTAGATTTTTTAAATACTGAGGACATTTGGAATTGGAGTTCTGAAAAGAAACTTAGTTTATAAACCAAAGCCTTCACTTACAGATAAAAAACTTGGATCAGTAGTTAGGTAGTTTGCCCAACATCGCAAATTTAATTGTCAGACCCGCAGCTGTTGCCCTTGTTGGTCATCCAGTGCTCTTTCCACAGTAGCGCACTGCCTCATGTTGAGAAAACTGAAGACCCTGGTCTGACAGGGAACTGTTAAGGGTTCCGCACTGCCACTCCATTCAAGAGTTCTGACTCATAACACTAAGAGAATTGACAACATGCATAAGATACCTAGGATTGTACATACTGTAACTGTAATGAGTCATTGGTAAATATCAGCTATTTCTATTTTTGTTCTGAGCCTGTGAGGGAAGTCCAAGACATCCAGACATCCGTGGAATTGGGAAAGTTAACTTTTAGGAATAATAGTTGAAAGCATTGTTTGTTATTTGTTTGGACACAGGATAATTGAAAAATATGGTACTTTAACGAGAGTGGTTTGATTTTATCTTTGTTACATTTAGGCCTGCATTCACCTTGCTTAATGTGCACATTTATTTTGAAATCTACCATAATCTGGAAAGGCAAACGAAGAGGCCAAGTACAAGAGTTGAGATGGGACCCTAAGGTTAATATCTCCTTGCATGACTGAAGATCAGGGTGCTTCCATGTCATTGATTCTGGGGTTAATTATTGAAGATTTAGAAAAGCAAATGTCAGTACAGTAGGATTTTGATGCTAGTTGAGCACTATACTAGAGAATAATACAACAATAAACAAGAGGTTGATTTTGTTTCATATGTTTCTGATCAGGTTACAGGAACCAAAGAAAGACCTGATCGCCCGAGTAGTGAGGATAATCGGGATCAAAAAGGCCATTGAACTTCTGATGGAAACTGCTGAAGTTGAACAAAGTGGCGGCCTTTTTGTCATGGTAAGGCTGCTTTACCAGTCTGTTTTAGTATTATTTATGTGGTTTTTTTTTTTTTTTTTAACAAAATGAATTTGCCTCTGCTGGGCCCCTTATCGTCATTACTACCACCTGTTTCAAGTTTTTAGAAAACTACATGAACAGTGAAGACTGAATGTAAAAGTTCAGTAATATATCCTCCCCCTCCCCCATCCAGTACTGACGCGTGAGTCCAGGGCCTTCACACTGAACTCTATCTCCAGCCCTTTTTGCTTTTTTTTTTTTGGCTTTTTGAGACAGGGTTTCCCTATGCAGTTCAGGCTGGCCTTCAGCTCACTGTGTAGCCCAGGCTGGTCTCGAACTCACAATGATCCTCCTGCCCCAGCCTCCTGAGTGCTGGGATTACAGGCCTGTGCCACTATGCCCAGCTCAACCTTTTTGCTTTTTTTATTTTGAGACAGGGTGTTGCTGAGTTCCTTAAGTTGGCCTAAACTTAACAGTTCTCCTGCCTCAGCCTCCTGAATAGCTGGGATGACAGGCTTGCACCACCATGCCTGACAGTACTATATTTTTTTGCAATTAATAGTTCCCTTATTAAAAAAAAAAAGAACAGATAAATTGTAGCTTGTTCGTGTATAGTTAACAACATACCTCTTACATGATTCATGAAAGTTTATTAAAAATTTTAAAACAGTCTGGAAGGAGCATAGACGCTAAAATTTTGAGTATGTGAGTTTTAGAATTCAATATACTGAGTGACGTTTATTAAAATACTTCACTCCTTAAGGTCTCCAGTTTACTCAGCTATAAAATGAAAGTTAATCCTATGTTATACAGATGGGATGAGGCAGCACTCATGGAATATTTAGCAGCCTGACGTGGTGGCACATTGGAGGCTGAGGGAGGGGGGTTGCAAGTTCAAATCCAGCCTGGGTAATTTAGCAATTTAGTGGGGCCTTATGTCAAAATAAGAGGGCTGAGGCTAGAGCTCAGGCCTTGGTTCCAAGAAAGAAGTGCTTAAGCTTAATGTGGTGGCACATACCTATAATCTCAGCACTGAGGAGGCTGAGGCAGGAGGTTCAAGGCCAGACTGGACTGTATAGTGAGTTCAAGGCTAGCCTGAACTAGCAAGTGCCTTTCTCAAGAAAAAAAAAACAAGAAACAAAAGGCCAACTCCCTCAACTGCTGTTATGATTTAAAGCACAGCTAGAAGATAGGTATACTGTTCATTCATATAGATTAAACTTTCAAGGGCAGTAGGTGTGAAAAGGAGAAAAAAATGGAAAAAGGCTCCTGGAGTCAGGGAGCAGTGATGGAAACAAAGGTAGAGAGACACTGGGTAGACCGCAGACCAGGATAATTGTCTTATCCAGTGGGTTTACAGATCCCTGTCTGCCGCAGCTTTCAGCACAGAGTGAGGATCGGTGTGACCAGCCTCCCCCACGGGTGCTCATCCTTTGTAATGTGCTGGTATCCAGTAGTCACAGTATAAAAGGAAAACATGGTAGAAGTGGAGAACAAAAGCAGCAAGTCAGGATTGATAGCATTGGCTGAAGAAACTGCCTGTGAACATAAATTACAAACTTAACAATAAAACAAGTTATGATAATTAAGGATATTTTGACATCGCAGTTTGTGTCAGCAATAAGATACTTTTGCTTTTTCACTTAATTGAATACCTAAAGATCCATTAATATTTTAATGTTGTCATAAAATTTTGTACTCCTATGAGGTAGTGCAAATATGTTGACAAGATGCAAATTCAAAGTCACTTGTTCTAATTTTGTTTTTTTTGTTTGTTTTTGAGAGAGGGGGCCTTAACTGTGTAGTTCAGGCCAGCCATGAACTCACTACGTAGCCCAGGCTGGCCTCAGACTCACAGTAATCCTCCTGCCTCAGCCTCCCCAGTGCTGAGATTTCAGGTGTGTGTCAACATACCCAGCTTTTTTTCTTTAAAGATGATCTTGCTGTGTAGCTCAGGCTGGCCTTGAACCTACCATCCTCCTTGCCTCTACCTCCCAAGTGCTGGGATTACAAGCATGTACTAGCATGCCTATCTGACTTTTTATATACTGGTCCTTAAATTGGCTAAAAACCTTAGTCATCTTTGTTTCTTCCTTTTCCTATATTCTAATCCATCAGGAAATCTATTGGTTGCCAGTCCTCTCTCTGCTACTGTCCGTGTGTTGTAACCCACATTCTCTCTTACCTCAATGCATCAGACTCTTAGTACCACAGTCTATTCTCTACATGGCAGCTTGAATGAAGTGCGTATCTTACCTAGTCAACCTTCCAAAGGCTGTCTTGTTGATAGCAAAACCCATATTTGTAAAGATATAAATCATGCCCCTCTAGCACCTATCCCACAGTACCTCTCCTCCTTTCTATACTCTTCTCAAGCACTATGCTCCTACCACAATGGTCACCTGCTGGTGCCAGGCACCAGGAAGAGACATGAGGGGGTGTCTTCCAAAGACAGGGTAGAGCCGGTCTTCACTTAGTATTTTGTCCATTATTAATGCAATTTTTGTATTTTAATTTTTGAAAATACTATTTATCTTGATTACTTCATTGTTTTTAGAACCTGAGGCAAGTCATCTCACTTCACCTTAATTCTGCCGTGCCAGATACCGTTCACTTCTACCGTGGCTGTTACATCTGCCTGGTCTGTTCTTCCTTTAGTACACATTGCTCTATCTTCCTCAAGGATTGGTGCAAGCATGTGCCACCCAGGCCTCTCTTATTTAATAGCAGAGTCCTCCTTCTCTGTGCTCCCTATACCTCCATCTGATCTACTTTTTTTTTTTCACATGGGATATACTACTTTCTAGTACATCTAAACTTACCACATTTATTGTTTACAGCTGTCTTCCTGTCACCTTCAATTATAGCATAAGCTCTTTGTTCTAGAAAAGTACCGGCTTACCAGGTACTGAATAAGTAATTGTTCAAAGAATATGTCAAGAGAAAGTGAATTTAGCTGGACATGGTGGTGCATGATTGTAATCCTAGCATTTTGGCAGGGAGGTTTACAGGTTTAAAGCTAGTCTGAGGTACACAGGGAGACCTTGTCTTAAAAAAAAAAAAAAAAAAAAAAAAAAACGGAAAAATCACAATAGCTCCAAACTCTCAAAAATCTATTTAACATGGTAAGGTGTGTATAATGGATTGTTTAATGAAAAAACACAGATTATAGGCCACTTTGTATATTAAAATCCTATTTTGAGATATGGGGGATAAAATATCTGAAGGCTAAGTTTAAAAAAGGCTGGGCATGGTGACACACACCTGTAATGAAAGCTTCTTCAGAGGTTGAAGCAGGAGGATCCTAAATTTGGGACCAGACTGGGCAATTTTTTAAGACCCTTTCTCCAAATAAAAAGGGCTGGAGACATAACTTAGTGGTAGCGTACCTGTCTAGCATGTGCTAGCTACAGTCCACAGTACCACAATTTTTTAAAATTTGCAAGCTAAAAAATTGTTTGCAAAATGTATATATTCACTAATTTTTTTAACAAAGACTCAGTTGTTTGAATAATTAACATATTCACATAGTGAAAAATCAAGCCGGGCATGGTGGCTCACACCTGTAATCCCAGCACTCGGGAGGCCGAGGCAGGAGGATCATCACGGAGTTCAAGCCCAGGCTGGGCTACAAAGAGCCCAAGGCCAGCCTGAACTGTATAGCAAGAACCTATCTCAAAAGACAAAATAAAACAAAATTAAAAATACCGGGAGTTGATGGCAAGGGAGAAATGGGAGTTACTTATTTAAAAGAGGAATTATTTAAAAATTTGAGATCTGTTTCACAATGAAGTGAATATATTTAATAATACTGTACACATAAAACTGGTTCACACAGGCAGGGATATAGCTCCATTTTAGAGAGCTTTTCTAGAGTGTGTAAAGTTCCATCCCCAGCACTGCAAAAAAAGGCAGGATTGGAGGGGTTAAGATAGTATAATTTTCATTGTGTATTTATCACCACAATGAAAACGCAAACAATAAAACAATATATAGTAAAAAGCAGTCCTCCCACTCCTATCTTTTGGCTACTTCCGCATGCTTTACACAGGTGGTAATACTTCATATACATTGTTCCGTACCTTGCTTGTTTTTCACTTCATGTATCTTAGCAGTTGCATATCAGTATATAAAGAAAGCCTGTTTATTCTTTTTTACAGTTGGCAGTATGAAAGTACCATAATTTATTATCTTTTATATGTTTTTTACACAGAGTCATTTGTTGTTTTTACATTTGCACTTTCACCTACTTGCTAAAATTTATGAATAACCTCAAAAATCAATATTAGTTGTGCTTTGTTACTCACAGACATGCAGAGTGACAAAAAGATTGTCCAGTGTACCCATTCCCAGATGAAGGTGAACAAAGCAACACTCTGCCATGTTTCAGTTCTCATTGTGTAAACAAGTATCCTTTTCAGAGTCTTCATTAGTGTCATGCTTTTCACATTTTTGTACTTTATTTCTCTGGTGATTTAGCTATTTAAAATGGCCCCCCAATGGTTGTGCTGAAGTGCTGACTAGCATTTCTAAATATAAGAAGACTGATGTGCTTTAGGGAGAAAATGTGTGTTAGGTAATCCTCTTTTAGGCATGATTAATGACTATTTGCTATGAGTTCAGTGTCATTGAGTCTATTTGTATCTGTATATTTATAGTTACACTTTGGTGGTGCTGGGCATTGCGTTCAGGGCCTCATGTCTGAGCATGAAGTCTACCACTGAGCTACAACCTTAGCCTTAACAATATATTTTAAGTAAGATGTCTTTGTTTTGTTTTGTTTTTAATTTTTAGTTTGTTTTTTGTTTTTTTTGCAGTGCTGGAGATTGAACTTAATGGCACTTAGCACTGAGCTACATCCCCAGCCTTTGTTTTAGTTTTCACTTTGAGAAAAGCTCTCCCTAAATTGTCCAGGCTGTCCTTGAACTTGAAATCCTCCTGCCTCACTTCTTCACTAGCTGGAATTATAAGCGTGTGCCACCATGCCTGACCTTTAGCGTGTCTTTAAAAACAAATTCAGATATGACACAGTTACATATTGCTCTGTTAATAAGTTATAACCAGAGGCCTGCACAAACTTAACCCTGTATTTCCACTAGAGCAGTGTTCTGTATTTGCTAATTCAATTTTTACAGCAATGTTTTACAACATAACTATGAGGAATAATGAGAAGAGACTGTATGTGCATATATCTTGTGATCTTTGATTCATTTGGAATAAATCATGGTACAAGGTGTGAGGTAGGGATCTTACTCAGTATTTCCCCAGATGGCCCAGTAGCTCCCAGCAGCACCAACTATTGAATAGTCCATTTTATCTTCTTTGGTTTAAGCTGTTCTACTATATCATAGTCTAAATTCTCATGTAAAGTTGGCTTTATTTCTGGGTTTTCTATGCTGTTGCACTGATCCTTTAAGTTTTATTTCATTACAACTCTTTTAATTATTGAGGCCCTATGGTATATTTTAATATCTAATGAAAGACTGGCACACCTGTAATCCCAGCACTCAGTAGAAGGATGGCTGTGAGTTCCAAGCAAGCCTGGAATGCATAATGAGACCCTATCACACAAAAAATAGAATATTACTGATTTGGCCAGATAGCAGATAAAAAGCAGAAAATCTAGATATTTCCTCAATCTTCTTATATGTGTCTCCTGAAACAGGCCTTGATCATTTATGGGAGAAGTCTATGTAGTTTGGGGCCTGAGGATGTAGCTGCTATAGAATACTTGGCTAGCATGCAAGGTCAGGGGTTCCATCCCCAGCACCCTCGCCCTCAAAAAAGTTGGTGTAGTTCATTGTTTTGTTTCTTTGTATAGAATGGTAGTCGAAGAAGAACACCAGGTGGAGTTTTTCTTTATCTCCTGAAAAACACTCCAAGTATCAGCGAAGAACAAATTAAGGTAAGGATACTCCCCTTGGCTTCCCCCCACCAACCCTTGGCTTTTAAGATCCCTTATAATTTGACTTTCACAAAGCTTCCAGTTGCATTTTATGATTGTCTTGGTTCCTTTTTTGAGACAGGATCTCACTATATATTTCAGGCTGGTCTTGAACTCAACCATGTAGCCTTGGAAAAAATGAATTATCTCAAGTCTGTGACAGTGGTATAATGGGCCTTAAGAATGTAGATTTGCTGTAATACGAGCACTTGGGAGGCTGAGGCAGGAGGATCATTGCAAGTTTGAAACCAGCCTGGGCTACAAAGCGAGCTCAAGGCCAGCCTGAACTGCATAGGAAGACCCTGTCTCAAAAAGATCAAAAAAAAAAAAAAGTAAACTTGGAGAAATAAATGAAGTCAGACTTTACACCTTACCATGTTAGCTCTGTAATGTTCTGCCTCATTTTTTCAATCTGAAAACAAAGATGATATACTACACCTACCTCATGTTTGTGGGCCTGAAAGTAGTTAATGTGTGTGAAAAGTCCTTCTTAGCATAGTTCCTGATGCTAAAAGTGCGCACTTGGTAAATGGCAGCTAGCCTTATTGTCCTCTGTAGTGTCACCTTTATTGTCATGCACCTTTTCTCCCAGATGCACCCTCCTTCTCCGCCCCCAGTCCTCCCTCATTTCTTAAGCAAGTACTTCTCTTTTATCAGAATACTCATATTCCTCATATTCTGAAGCTTTCCCTACTCTTACTTCTGCCAGTTCCACACCCTGCGTATAGCTACTTAGCGTACAAAGTAGGAGCAAGTCTCCTTTATCTCACCATCTGCAACAGTACTTTTGATTTTTTTAAATTTTGTTTTTAGTAGTACATGTTTACAGTGTGTAATGATTACATTGCTCATGGGGAGTTGGTACATGTACAAAACACATCCTGATTCCTTTTTTCAGCCTTTCTTCCTCCCCTTTCCCTATCTTGCTCCCTTTCCCTTGTGAAATACTATTATACAGACGCTTCATGAATTTGTGTGTCATTCTTGTGCAGGGGTCATCCCAACTTCTGTGTATCATTCCAGTTTTAGTAGTGTATGTGTGCTGCTGAAGCAAGTACCATAGTGATTTTTATAGACAAGAAGGGATTTGCAGTTTGTGCACTTTAGAAAATATGATAGGTACTGGCTTGGCTACAGCTTTTTAGGAGTCCCTTTCCAGGAAATAATAGTTCAGAAATGTGTCCTGCCTCTACCAGCTTCTTTTTTAAAACTTTGAACCATGTCTTTCTTACTGTAGACAGTGTGGCCCCCCCTCCCTCTCTTTTGAAGATTTAATACTGTAGAAAGTTTATGCTAATGCATGCAAACATGTTTAAAAATTAACTAGTTTTAGTAAATATATATAAATAAAAATGGAGGGCTGGGGACATAGTTCAGCAGCACAGCACCTGCCTGGCAAGCTCGAGGTCCTTGAGTTCAATTCCTGGTAAACAAACAAATTAAGTAAATAAATAAATAAGGATAGAATAATCACAGCAGAAATTAAAACTGTAAGAACTGTATTACAATAGGCACTCTGCTGAAAGTATTAGTTATTTCAATATTAAGGCACAGTTTCTATTCTATTTACATTGTTCTAAAATACAAACATTTACTTTTCCCATCTCATTCAGTAACATTACCATAACCCCATAGACCCAGCAAAAGGTGGTACAAAATTCCTAGTAAAGTACAAACAAGTTGAGTTTTTTTAATCGAGAGCCCTAAGACAAGAAGACATAATCTGATAATTAATAAAATCTATCACCTTGTTGTAGGTGTAACCACTGCATGGTTTCTGAAATCTGCCAAATCCCTGACCTACTTTCCTTTCTTTTGTACTCTCTTAACTCCACTTAGCTGTTTGTACCAAAGTTGCCATGTGATATTTTATGTTTTTCTGTGTTTATTTTTTGCATGTTTCTATTGTAATGGAAATATATTTTCTAGTAGAATAGGTCTCATCCACTGTGGTTTTGCCCCGTGGGATATTTAGCAATGTCTGAAAGTATTTTTTAGTTATCATAGTTTGGGAATAGGTAGATAGGTCCTACTTACGTAGAGAGAGTAGATGCCTCATACGCTGCCAGACGTGTCACAATGTGTGCACAAGAAAACCCACGGCAAAGAATTCTCTTCTACTGGAAGACCCCATGGTTTCACGCTATAAAGTCCCTTTTTTGGCATCTTTGTATCCTACTGATGACTATTATTTCTATGCTTATGCTAAAAGCTTTTGACCAAGAGTCACACTCTCTCATGTTAATTTCAGTAAGGGCTAGAATTTATCTTGCATTGTGTAGGTGATATGATTGCTTATTCACACAGTACAGACACAGCCTGTTTCCTTAGCATGTGCAATCACATATTTTTATGATAACATTTCAAAGTTAGTAAATCTTTATTCCAAAGACTTCTTTTTCTTGTGTGATCAATTACATTTTATTTCAACCCTAAATAAGTGATTTTCCTTTTGTATCTTTTTCTTAAGAAAACTTTAACTATAGAGATAACGTGTTGAGTACGGACCATAAACTTAACAATAGTGTCAGTCTTTACTTACAGTAGGTACTTGTTTAATATCTTGGACTCTGGGCCTAATATTTGCTTATTTTTGTAAGAAGTGGGGACAATAATTGTAAAGGGCCTGCCTAATAACCAATTTCATGGCACTTCTCTTTTACTGAAGTTATTCATTTTTATTACAGGACATTTTCTACATTGAAAATCAAAAGGAATATGAAAATAAAAAAGCTGCTAGGAAGAGGAGAACACAAATATTGGGGAAAAAAATGAAACAAGCCATTAAAAGTCTGAATTTTCAAGAAGATGATGATACCTCACGGGAAACTTTTGCAAGTGACACCAATGAGGCCCTGGCCTCTCTTGATGAACCACAGGAAGGACACGGAGAAACCAAGTTGGACGTGGAGGAAGCTATTGAGGTCGATCACTCTCATGACGTGGACATCTTTTAAGTACATTTGGACGACTTAAAGCATACGCCTTCCAAAGTAGCATTGTAATGCACTGTTTCTACTGACACAGCTTTGTTTTGCTTCCACACTGGTAAACAAGAAAATCTGAAGAAGAGGAACTATTGCTTGTTTTAAATAATGTATGGGGAAATGAGTGCCATTAATTTAAAGATGGTTCGTGTCTGACACAGTACTTAAAAGTGGCACAGTACTTAATTTCTTAGTCTGTTGCATGGCTAATACAAGTATTACTAGTTGTTAATCATTTTTTCCAGATCATTATAATATGCCATTCAAAACTTTGTTTTCTTTTTTCTGATATACGTGGTGAATTTCACTTTGGTTTCAGAACATTCCAATAGAAGATCTTGATGGGACACACAAATTGTTACTCTGTTACAAATGCATTTGGGTTTGTTTTTCTGCATTGTAAGTCCCCTTAGGCAGTTGTGAAGGATAGAGACTAAACAGGAATATATGCTTAATGATTCTACCCAGTTACTTATTTGTCCAGAAGTAAATGTCGGAAGCTTTTTGAACAAGTATTGGTTTATAACTTTTTGACTTCTTATTAACTGGATAATAATTCAGCAATTACAATGTATAGTTTATTATAAACTAAACTTGAAGTCTTTTAGTAGTTCCTCACAGTGTAGTCATTGAAGTTGGATCATGAAGAGAAAAATAGTTATTGGTTGCTTTTATTTATAAAGAATGGAAAAATAAAATCTCTGTCAGTCTTGCCGAGCTTTGGGTGCCTTTATTGACTTTCTTGTGTTTGATGCTGCCCTAGACCAGTGATGGCAAACCGTTTGGAGACCAAGTGCCAAACTGCAACCCAGAACCCACTTACTTACCACAGAGTGCCAGAACTGCAGTTAAACCTGAATACTGAGGTTTTAGTTTTAAAAAACAGCCAGTGCTCGGCTGTCGGGGCGACTTGACTCACGTGCCGACCGCACTGCATGCCCTAGGTTTGCCACCGCTGCCCCAGGGCCTGGTGGACTGCAAAGCATGTGTCCTACTGCTCAGTGACTTTCCTGGCTCCAACGTTTTTCCTCTTATGATGCTGGGGATTGAGCCCAGGGCCGTGTACATGCTAGGCAAGTACCCAACTTTGAAAATCTCAAATATTGCTTAATAGGACTGCTATAACCAAGGGAAGAAGTGTATTTTAAATAGGAAAGTGCATACTGTCCCTGTGTGGGTTTTAGTTGTTTTTGTTTTGCTGCTGAGGGTTGAATCCAAGGCTTTTCACGCTGTGCTACATCCATAGCCTGCTTTGGTTTTGTTTTTTGTTTTATTTTTTGACGAGATAATCTCAGTGACTAAGTTGCCCAGCCTGTACTTGAACGTGGCAGTCCTCTTGCTTCAGCCTCCTGGAGAGCTGGGACTGCAGGCATGTGCTACCACACCTGGCTCAGATTACTCAGGAGAGATGATTCTTCCCCTGCGGTTAGGATGGGACCCAGGGTCATCATACGTACTACACATGTGCTCTGCCACTGAGCTATCCTCACCCCTATGAGGCAATTTTAAAGCTGTATTGCATTAGAAAAGATAAACATACATTACTTTCTGTAGTCCCCTTTTTAAAGGGGACTAATTCTTGAGACTACTTTCCACTCAAATTGTCCCTTTTAAGCTGTGAATAGTGACCCACACCCCAGTAAGCTCAGCTACTCAAAAAGCTGAGGCAGCAGGATTGCAAGTTTGAGGGCAGCCTGGGCAACTTAGACTTTGTCTCAGAATAAAATAAGAAAGGTTGGATATGTAGCTCAGCACTCCCTGGGTTTAATCCCAAATACCACCACAAGGAAAAAAAAAAGATTGCTTCTTTTGCCTATCTTCCTAGTTCAGTTCTGTCAATTTTTTAACATTTGAAACCATATAGATTTCTGGCTTGTATCCTATTATATAGAAATCAATGCTTACAATTTTTAAGATTCTTTAAATTTTTCATGTTTAAAATTACTTTTTAGAGCCGGGCGTGGTGGCGCACACCTGTAATCCTAGCACTTGGGCGGCTGAGGCAAGAGGATCGTTGCAAGTTCGAGACCAGCCTGGGCTACAAAGTGAGCTCAAGGCCAGCCTGAACTGCATAGCGAGACCCTGTCTCAAAAAGACAAAAAAAATAAAATAAAAAACTTTTTAATCAGAGCCAGGCGTAGTGATGCATTCCTGTAATCCCAGCACTTGGGAGGCAGAGGCAGGCTGATTCTCGTGAGTTTGAGACCAGGCTGGACTATAATAGTGAGTTCATGGCCAGCCTAGACTACATACCTAGACTACAGACCCTGTCTCAAAAAAAAAAATTAAAACTTTTTTTAAAAAGATTATCAGCTACAGTGGTATATATCTTGTAAGTAAGCCCAGTACTTGGAAAGGTGAGGCAGGAGGATCACAAACCTGAACCCAATCTGAGCAATTTAGTGACATAGTGAGACCCCATCCCAAAAAACAAAGGAGTAGGATATAATTCAGTGTAAATTCTGAGTTCAATGCTTACAACCACAAAAAGTAAAAAGTTTTATAGTTAAAATATTCTGAAATATGACAAATGAAAATGGGTCAAACGTGTGGATTTAAGCAAAGTTGATACTTAGTGTGTATCTAATAGGTGGTAAAGCGTGTAGTATGTAAACAGTACATACAGTGATGCAGTATATAAAGAAAATCAGGCAAAGCAGAGAATGTTCGTCTGAAGTGCTTATTTGTGACTGTTCAGTCAAATATTCTTTGTAGTGTGTGTCAAATTTCCATTGTGCAAGCATTCTCATTTTTAATTGCCCAAAAATAATTTTGTCTAGGGCAATTAAAAACCATGCTGAAGCTGGGCGTGGTGGCACACAACTAATCCCGGCACTTGGGAGGCTGAGGCAGGAGGATTGCTACAGCCTAAGCTACAAAGAGGTCAAAGCCATCCTGAACTGTACAGCAAAATTCTATGAAAAAGACGAAAACTTTTTTAAGTTCTGAAGATAGGTCTAGCCCACTTGTAACTGCTCACGTAACTGCCGAGGGTTGCTATGAAGTTAGCAGTACATTGTTACATCAGAGGCAGTGCTTTCATCATTGGAACAGTGACTTGGGGTCTAGATGTGAATTGTCGTTGTTGGCAGTGATGCCTTCGGAAAAAGACACTTGTCCTACCTTTCCTAAACTGACTAACAACTGCTGTGATGAGAATCTCTACAAGCCTGCCAATAAGTGAGGACCAAAAGGGCTTGGGGGCAGGAGGAGGTTTTTGTCGATTTGTTTTTTAGGCTGGGAAATATATAGAGAAAGTAACTGCTACTTAGCATCTGCAGAAAGCTTTATGTTCCGAGGAAAATGTAGTATGTGTGGAAGAAAGCAGGTCTGACCAAGCGTAGAGTTTTTATAAATTCAGAAGGCAGGTTAGTTGCTGGCCATTTGTGACTGGCCAAAGATTTCCTTATCAAGGGGTAGACTGATGATGCCCTGCCTCGCCCTTGAACTCAGTCACACCGACGTTGTGTGCCAACTGCACGTGGCTGGAGGCACATAGCCAGCCCCAGCTCCATTGTGGTGCTAGGTGGGGATGAAGGGGGAAATCATCAGGTGGGCCTTGGTGTCACAGTCTGGATCCAAACATGGATGTGCAGTTGCCTCCCTTCCTTGGAATGATGCCAGAACAACTGCTCACTTACAAGTATCCTCTCTCCTCGACAGGTATGAGGACATTCATTTGCCACGGTTTTCACTAAGGCAAGGGATGATCCCGACACGTTACGTCATGCCTTGGAAAGAAAACATGAAATTCAGGAATGTGAACCTGAAGGTATTTTCTCATAAATACCCATTATTTTAAAACCTGTACCGTTTAATACAGTCTGTGAGCAGACACAAAAACTGCACTTTGATGGAAATTTGCAAGCAAATGTTAACCGTATCCAAGAACACGCGTGCAGACGCTCGCTCCCCCAGAGGAGCGCAGAAGCTTGGCATCACGCAGGCTTCTATGCCAAGCCCAGCAGAAGCGGGCGCCACAGATAGGAAAGCCACAGTCCCGCTGTGCTGCGTTTTGAGTCGAGTGCCGTGGGAACAGCAGAGCTGGAGGTGCTTTCCATTCAGGCTCCTAATTAGTTCTTTTAAAACATTTTCCAAATTCACACTGACCATTTACTTGTGGTAAGTTTTTTCTTCAAAGGAGAATAAAATAAAGATAGTAATCAACTATGAGGAAATTTCAAGTTAGGAGTCCTAGAAAAAACTGTGTTTTTGCTAAGTCACTTGTAAATTTCAATTGTGTAAATGGTTAATATCAAATAATGTATTTTGCAAAGGCAGATTAAGTATGGTTCAATTGTTTTCATATCTTTTTTTTTTTTTTGAGGCAGGGTCTCGCTATGTAGTTCAGGCTGGACTTGAACTCACTATCTAGCCTCGGCCAGAACTGGCAGTGATCCTCCTGCCTCAGCCTAACGAGCACTGGGATTACAGGTGTGTGCTACTCCGCCTGGCCTTGATTGTTCTGTAAAATGCACATGTGAGCCTGGCATGGTGGTACATGCTTGTCATCCTGGCATTAGAAGCAAGAGGTTCACAAGCTCAAGTCCAGCTTAGCCCCTCATAACTTAGTGAGACCCTGTCACAAAATAAAAAGGGCTGGAGTTGTAGTTTACTGTGAAGACCCTGGCTTCAATCCCAGTACCTCCAAAAAAAGGAAAAAAACTTGCACAGTGTTACACAATACACGAAGCTGCATTTACCTCAGGATGATTCGTGTGTGTGTGTGTGTGTGTGTGTGTGTGTGGTTTGTATTTTTTTTTTGAGATAGAGTCTCACTGTGTAGCTTGGTCTTGAACTCACTAGCCAATCTGGCCTTGAATTCATAGAGATAAACCTGCCTTAGCCTCATGAATGTTGTAGTTGCAAGTATTTGCCACCACACCCAGCATATTGTTTTTATTTTTTTTCTGTGTGTGTGTGTATGTGTGTGTGTGGTGCTGGGGATCAACCCAGGGCCTTGCAAGTACCCCATAAGTGCTACCACTGAGCTATACCTCTGGCTTTGTCTTGTTCTCTTTTTTGAACCGGGAATCCAAACTCAGGACCTTGTACTTGTGGTCTTGTTCTTTACAGCTGTGACTCAGCATAATTTTTCAAAGCTCTTCTACTTTTGCAATTTAAAGTGTTCCTTACAAACTGGGCATAGTGCCACATGCCTGTAATCCCAGCACTCTGGGAGGCTTAGGCAGGAGGATTGCAGGTTTGAGCCCAGCTCGGACAACTTAGTGATTTAGCAGGACACTCTCTCAAAATTTTAAAAAAGGGCTGGTATGTGGCTTAGGGTGAAGGCCCTGGGTTCCGTCTCCAGGACTGCAAAATACACACATATGTACATACATACATACATACATTAAAGTTTTAAATAAAGTTTCCAATGGTGTAAAAAATACTCTTAGTGACTAGTGTAGAGAACATTCTACCTTGCAAAGTTACCATGAAAATTAAAGAATTAAATGAAATGAATGTGCCCATGCTGAATACATGCTGGGACACTGGCTTACACTCTTGTCTTTCATTTAACCTCACCATTTTTACCTTAAGAGGTGATTTTAAAAACCCATGTGTAACAACAATACGATAACAGGGTGTACTGGAAACGGGCCACACCCCACGGCCAGGCCGGTCGCTGCTCAGCAGTACTGAAGCGCAATTAAGTCAGTAACCTCAAAGAGCAGCTCCTCATTCATAACAGTAACATCAGAGTCTATCTCAATTAAATGCCTGAAATTGGCAGAAGCTTTCTCACTCACCAGTGGGCTTTTTTGTTTTTCCTTTTTCTTTCCGTGGTGCTGCCGGTTGGACCCAGGCTCTCTCATGCTAGCAAGTGCTTTGCCCCTGAGCTACATCACCGATACGCACTCGCTTATCTTCTGTGCAGTATTCAAAGAATCCTTCCATATTCTTATTTGATGACCGAAAAACCTGAGTCGTGGGGGAGTAGTGACTTGCACAAGTCCACGTAGGCAGGGAGCTGAAGTTCAAGTCTTAATTCCAAGTGTGTCTGTCACTCTTAGAGCTGCAGCCCCCACGGTACTTCGTGGTAGTCAGTAACACAACACAGGACATTGCTTTATCTTGATGTCCATCAGGTAGTTAGCAATTTTGTTTTTTTTTTTTTTTTTTTTTTGGTACTGGGAACCGAACTCAGGCCCTTGCACTTGCCAGGCAGGCGCTTGTGCCGCTGAGCTATATCCCTGGCCCTTTTTTTTTTTAGGCAAGGTCTCACTGTTTAGTTCTCAGCTGGCCCAGAACTCACAGTCCTTTCTCACTCAGCCTTCCACGTGCTGCAGTCACAGGCATGCGCACCACGCCTGGCTGAAACTTCCATCTTAACAGAAAACGATGTTGCTGGGATGTGGCGTCCAGCTGAGGGTTTCCTTTTGCTTCTTCTTAGCACGCAGAAGTGTCTGGGATCTACTCCGGCCCATTAGAAGAGCCTCTGTTTCTGAGTTGCAGAGAAAGGCTTTGCCATGGGGAGGACCGCAAAATTGTCTTCAGAAAAAGCCCACCGGAGATAAAAATCGCGGACATGCCTTCGCACTCGCCTCTCTCCAGGTACCAGAGCACCGTGATTTCCCATGGCTTCCGGAGGCGGCTGATCTGAGGAAGGCAGGCGGCCCCAAAGCTGGCTCTGCCTGGAGTCAGCAGGGAAGCACCTGTGTGCAGTGTGTGAGAAACCTTGGGCTCCGCCCCAGCACCACAAAACATAAATAAATTAAAATTAAAGTGGTACAGTATTTCGGTAAAAGTTCAAGACCACGGTCCATTTGCATTTCACCTTGAGTTCCATTTGTTTAAAAATCCTAAGTGAAGAGCGTCGGGTATAGATTCCAGAGGCTTTAGAGAGGAAATGGGCTCCGAGGTCGTCTGAGATGCAGTGGGAGAGAAAGGGAAACTGCTTTTGCTGTGCTCGCTTCTCCCCCAGTGGATAAGGAACAGCAGAGAGGCAGCAGCCGCATGCACGCACGCACGCACGCACGCACGCACGCACGCAAGCATGCAAGCCCTCCTCTCCTTCCTCTGCCATCCGGTCCCTCCCGTACATAGTTTCAGATGCGCCCACCTGAAATAAAGTTTCAGGATGTGGAGTTATTTTTGCTACTTTGCCGGCCTCCCTACCACCCTTCTCTCTGACCCATCCCTTCCACATACACAGCTCTAAAACTCTGGACCACGGTAACCACCATGATAATTACAGGTATTTGGCAGGCAGCGCTGGCATACAATGCAATTTTATCTGTGAGAGATGTACTTTCTGTGTTTACTCAGTGTATGTAAGTATCAGTTTCCCACAGCACGGAAATGATTCACATAATTGAACAACATAAAAGCAACCTATGCAAAATGGCACAACCACGATAGAAGAAGGTATGGCGGATCCTCAGGAAATTAATGTGGAACTACCACATGACTCAGCAATTTCATCCCTCAGTTACATACTCAACAAAATTAAAAGCAGAGACTTGAACGGATATCTGCGTACCAGTATTTATAGCAGCAGTACTCACAATAGTAAAAAAGGAACAACCCAAATTTATCAATTGCTGAAGGCATGAACAAAACATGGTATGTACATGTGATGGTATATTATTCAGCCTTAAAAGGAGTGATCCTTCTGATACGTGCTACAACTGAAGGAACACTGACAGTATCATGCTAAATGAAATAATCCAGACACTCCATTCTTTACACCACGTAAAGGGTACAGTAGAAAGTGGTTCCCAGGGGCTGGGGATTTAGTTCAGCGGCACAGCGCCTGCCTGGCAAGTGCAGGGTCGTGAGTTCGATTCCCAGTACAGGAAAAAAAAAAAAAAAAAGAAAAGAAAGAAAAAGAAAGTGGTTCCCTAAGCGCCAGGCAGAGGGCTCTGACCAGGAAGACACTGCTGGGGTCTTGCTCTTGGACTTTTCGGCCCCCAAAGCTGTGCACATGAGTGTCTGCCGCTTGAACCACCTGCCTGTGGCATTTTGTTTCAGCCTCACCAGACCAAGACACTGTTCGGTGTGTGGATTGGTGTTACCTTTTGGCATCCATTTCTCTGCGCCTGAAGAACTGCTGTACTTCTTTTAAGGCACATCTCCTAGCAACAAATTCAGTGTCGTTTATCTGGGACATTTTTCTGTCACCATTTTTTGGAAAGAAGTTCTGATGGAGATTGGGTGTGTGAGCACTTGGAATATGCTTTCACAGTCCTTTGGCTGCTGTTTTTTTCTGCAGAGTCAGCACTTAATATTAACCCGTGTACCCTTTGCAAGTGACTCATCACTTCTTGCTAATCCTTGTCTCTGACCTTTAGCATTTTTGTTATGAAATTGTTTGCGGGCCTCTCTGTGTTTATCCTATTTGGAGTCCATTGTGCTTCTATAACAAGGACTTAGAAGCTAGACCCGGAGACACCCAGGGGGTGGCTAAGAGACGAACCTTGAGCTTCTTTACTGTGCTTCTCAGCGCAGCCGTACTGGCTACAGCCCCTTTCCACTTGTCTCCGTGATTGGTGGTGTGGGGGCGACCGGGCTTGGTCTGCTGGGACACCCGGAGCTGGGGCTTTTGTCAACCTTGGTAATTCTTCCTGGATGTGTAGGCTATATTTCCGGATAAATGTAGCAAACTTGCAGCCATCACGTGTTCACTTTTTCTTCTGCTCCTTTCCCGTCCCTGCCCTCTCCTCACAGGCCTGCTGAGAGCAGTGAGACAGTTCTGACCCCTGGAGGACTCCTCCCAGCTCTTTCCCCAGTTCTCTCTGGCAAACTAGCCAGCCTACAGGTGAGCCGACACTGTATCTCCATGAACCTCGGAGGCTCCTTCCAGTTGCCTTTCAAGACCACAACCTTCCCTGTCTCTGGTGTTTTGTTTTAGTTTTTTTTTTAAGAGAAAAAAAATAACAATATAACAACAATGAAGACCAAAATAAATAAATAAATAAATAAAAACAATACAGGATTTCAAAACAAGATGACAGGAATTAACAATGGTTGTTATATTACATATTGTTATCTTCAATGAAGTTGCCGCGATTACCAGATGTAAGAATAAAAGATTGACCAAACCATTAAAGACAGTAACAAGTAATTAAAAAAGAATTAGAAGCATACAGAGCTTCACCAGACAAGATGGTAGGAATTCAGCAATGGTATTTATATGGCATATTGTTGTCTTCAAGTTAGTTGTTCCAATTACCAGACATAAGCATGCAAAGTGGATTGAGAAAAAAAATTGAAGCATTAACTGCTCCTTTCAATAAACCAATAGATATCAGCAATACACTTATCTCAGCTATCCTTGTATTTACATACACATTTTTTCTTTTTTTAATTTTAAAGAGAAAATATCGAAAACAAAATGACAAAAACAAAGCCATAAACAAAACAACATAAAGACAAAAATGATACAGAATTTCAAAACAAGGTGACAGGAAACCAGCAATGGTCATCACACTGCATACTGTTATCTTCAGAGTGGCTGCTCAGATAACCAGATACAGGCATGCAGGACTGAGCAAACAAGTACATGTTAACTGTTCCTTTCAATAAACCAACAGAAATTAGTAGTACAGTTACCTTAGCTATCTTGTGTATACGAGTACACCTACTTTTTCCCTTCCTTCTTTTTCTTTTTCCTCTTCTCCCTCATCCCTTGTTTTAGTTTTTGAGGTGGATTCTTCCTGTGTGGCTCAGGCTGGGCTCAAAGGACCCTCATGCAGTCCCTCACTTTTAGAGCGCTCAAGCCTTCACCCCTCTCCACACCACTGCAAAACAGCCCAGTTCCTGTGGAAGAGGTTAGGACCGCCCTCCCATGTGGCCCATTTACCCTCCCCGTAAAGATCCCCCAGCCGGGATCTGGAGCTTGGAGCAAGGGCAGTGGCTCACCCCGCTGGGAGCTGAGGAGTCAGTGGAGAGAGGGCAGTACAAGTCCTCTCAGCTCCCTCTGCGAACACAGACCGCCTGTGAGCTGGCTGGGGGTCCCTGAGGCCCTGGTATTCTCAGTAGCCCTGTGCCCGGGATGGCACTTCTGTCCCCCTGGGAGAAGAGAGACCCCCCCCCCAGCCTGTTGGTCACGCTTGCCTAGTGCTAACATTGTGCTCCTTGTGAAAGAGCCCTCTGCCCAGGGGCTGAGAGAGGAGCCCTGTGTTTTTTTAGACCTTAAAAACAAAAGAACATGAAAAATGGATCCCACAGCTGTTAGATGGCACAAAGACTAAGATGAATTAGAATTAATGAAAAATCAAGCTGAGCGTGCTGGCGCACACCTGTAATCCCAGCACTCAGGAGGCTGAGGCAGGAGGATCATTGCGAGTTCGAGGCCAGCCTGGGCTACAAAGTGGGCTACAAAGTGAGCTCCAGGTCAGCCCGAATTGCATAGCGAGACCCTGTCTCAAAAAGACAAAAAAAAGTCAAAACAGGCACAAATAGCATTTAAAACTGGTTTACAGAAATAATAGCAAAAAACTTTTCAAATATGAGGAAAGAATTTAACATATAGATCACTGATACATGTATAACCCCAAATAGCCACAAGCAGAAAAGAACATCTACGAGACATAGACAAAATCTTAGAAGTACAGCACAGAAAAACTTAAAAGCTATTACAGAAAAACAACGAATCACTTATAAAGGTTAGCCCATTAGGATTATAGCAGACTTGCTGGACATGGTGGCTCACCTCTATAATCCCAACACATGGGAGACTGAGGCAGGAGGATCCCTGCAAGTTCGAAGCCAGTCTGAACTACACAGTGAGACCCTGTCTCAAAAACAAAGTATTATAGCAGACTTATCAACACAAACTTTAAAGGCCAGAAGAGCTTGGAGTACAGTGTTTCAAGTCCTAAAAGAAACTTCCAAACCCAACTGATACATCCCCAAAAAGCTATCTTTCAAAATTAATGCAGAAATAAGGTCTTTCCATGACAAGGAGTACTTTAAGAAATTCATAGCCACCAAGGGGCCGGGGATTTAGCTCAGCGGCACAGTGCCTGCCTGGCAAGCGCAAGGTAGTAAGTTTGATTCCCGGTACCGGGAAAAAACCAAAAAAAAAAAAAAAGAAACTCATAGCCACCAGCTTAACATTTCTAAAAATTCTCAAGGATATCATAGAAAGAGATAATGAAGCCAACAATTCCCAAAAGCCTAATGGAATGAATATATTATGAGTCCTTTGCAGCCATGGGCAGACTGTAATGGCTTGTGTCTCGACGTCCCCCCAAAGCTTCACGGGTCATAGGTGGAGCTTTTCAGAGGTGGCTGGACCTAGAGAGTGTGATGCTGGCATTAAGGATGTGATGCTGAGATTGATTCATGGGGTGATGCTAGGATTAAATGTGCCCACCCTGGGCGGGAGTGCTACTCACCCCAGGGCAGGTGGGCTGGATGGAATATAAGGGACAGTGAGAGGGCTGCTGTTCTGCTGCTTATCAGTTACTACTAAGCAAGCTGCTTCACTGCTGGCTGTCTTCTGCTTTGCTGTCCTGCTCACCATGAACGGCTGCCCTCTGCCATGTGCCACCCTGCCTTGAGCCGGCCAATTATGGACTGAAACCTCCACAGACTGTGAGTTAAACAAACCTTTCCTCCTTCAACTTTGGTAAAAAAACATAAACATAAAAACAGAATATCCATAAAACTTTCTCCAAAATAGACCACATAGTGACAAGTTCTGGAACCTCAGCAAAGGCATATACATAAGAAGGTAAAACAGTGAAATATAATTTAGGTAACTGAGGTGTCATTGTTTCTATCTAGATGTCCCCAAAG